GTTTTCTTGTCCTCTCTGACTTATCAGCCCTGTTCAGAGAGGAAGTAGCTGCACAGAACGCCACCGGTTCTGGTTTCATGGTCCAACCACACTGGGGCTTCTGGATGGCTTCTGATGTGGCAAAGAGGAAGATGAGACAGAGGATTCCCCACCGTTTGGTTTAACTCTAAAATCAATGGAATCTTCTCTCTCTTTATAGATCGCCTTTAAGGAGTTGCAATTAACTTCAGAATAAAAGGGTTACTTGAGCCTGGTCCATCGATTGCTCTCCTCTCAAGATGCAAGCCAGCATCTTCGTCACAGGCAAAGGAAAAGGAAGGGATGTGATGGTCAGATGGAGCAGGCAGTCTGCCAGGAGCTTCTTTCCCTAAGGGCTTCTGTCTTCAAATGGGTAAAAAAAATGTCCAAATCACCCTTTTCTTGTCCACTGCAAGACCAGGTTGTGATCGCTCTCCCTTCTGCTTAACACACTTTAAGGGGAATCTAGCAAAAGGGAAAAATCCATCCATGATTGAGCACAGAAGATGTGAGGCCTTCTAGCAGATCTGGGAAGGCCTCTTGCAGCCACTTGCTTCTGGAGAGCAGAAGTGGACCTCTCCCTCTGGTGGCTGAGGCATGTTTTCCAAGCCTTTGCATGTGGAGGGCCAACTTCTCTTGGCTTCGTTTATTTTGGTTCCTAACAACATTTCCAGTCATTCAAGCTTTTCAATAGGCCAAACGACCTGTACTTGGGTTGAGAAAGTGAAAATCTTCTACAGGTTGTCCTTGATTTACAACCACAAGTGTTCTTTCTATGAAGGAGATGGGTGGTTTTAAAATTTGATAAATATTTCATAAATAAATATATAAGTAATAAATTGGGTTTTGGAATTTTTGTTCTAAACAATGCTGTCATTAAGCAAGCTATCACATGACCCGGCTCAATTTCAGGACTATTTTTACTGCAGTTGTTAAGTGAATCTAGCTTGACTTTGCTTGTTGGAAGCCAGCGGAGAAGTCATAAACTGCAGTCACGTAACCAGAAGACACTGCAACCATCATAAATGCGAGCTAGTGGCCACACTCCAAAATTGTGACCACATGGTTGGCTGTAACTTCAAGGATGTTGTAAGCCACTTTTCCTGAAGCTGTCATAACTTCAAACTGTTGTTAAATGAACAATCGTAAGTGAAGGTTTACCTGTATCTTTGTGAAGATTCTTCGGCCAGCTGATTGGAATGAATATTGTGAAGATAAACATGAGCCTGTTTGGGTAAATCTTAATGCACTTTGGTTGAATGAGACACTTTTACGGGAGATTTTCAAACCTCCACATGAAGGTAGCATTAACCTGCAAAGCGTACATTACAAATGAAAGTATTTTGGCTTCCTATCTTGGACTCAGACTGGGCCTAGATTAAATTTTACTGCAGTTAAACAAATCTATGCTCTCCTTTCTATTTATTCTTATCCAGTGTGGGCAACCTAGACCTCTTGGGGATAATTTGTTTTGAACAAAGCCATTGAAAATGGATGTTCTCAAGAAGGATATTATTTTTCATTTTCCAAATATTAAATATTGGTTTGCAAAGGGCTCAGTAAACTATGCAGCAGTTTATCAATTTCTTTTTGGTTTGCCTAACTTCCACTAGCAAAGGGATGCTGGAAAATCGAGAAGAAAGGACAATTCCTCAACTGTGGTAAACTTATAGCAACCTTTTCCTGTAAAGGGACATGGATAATTTAAAGGGAATTCTGCAAATACATAATGAGCTTCAAAATCAAACCTAGCATTATCCACCAATTTCTGCCAGCTTCTGTGCCTACTTGCAGCTCTCTCAATATAGGTAATATAGGGGTATGAGAGAGACAAAGAGAGAGAGAGAATGAGAATGAGAGAATGAGAGAAAGAGAATGGGACTGAAAGAAAGGGAGAATGAGAGAATGAAAGAGATTGAGAGAGAATGAAAATGAGAAAGAGAGAAAGACTCTGACCAACTCTTAGATCCTTGGTGTCTAGCAAGAACCATCCTGTCTATCTACAGTGGTCACATCCTCACTTGTTCAGTGTGACAGTCCCAAGAAGAAAATAGGCAGGTAAGGACAATATTTGCTGAATGTTCACCCTCTCCGGAAACTGCACTCCAAAGCAGACAGCATACAGGATGTGGAGACAACTTACACAATGGCACAACAAGAGGCACACATTGTATTTCTCTCTCTAATGAATAGCCAGTTAGGCCATTTCCCCCAGTTGCTGCTCTACACCAATAGAGAGTCCCAGGAAGTCTGCTGTGTTACTGGCTATCATAGTTGTTACAGGCACTTTGCAGCAAATAATGGGTGAGAAAGGCCTTACTGGTTCTGTTATATCTAGGAAAGGTAACAAAGGAAAGATGCACATCCTTAAAAGCCAGCTGGAGACTTTGGGCCAGTTCCTCTTCCTCAACCCAATTTTCTCAGCCCAAAATAGGGGGAGTAACGAATATTAGATATGTTCACTGCCATGGATTGTTTATAAAAATAATAAAGGTATCCAAAGAAACAAACAAATAAATCCTTACCTTATTTGTCCCAAGAATCAGTAGCCAAAAATGAATTTTGCCCCTCATCCTGGAAAATCTCTTGCGGTACTCTTAATTTTTTCATTGGACTCTCAAATTCCCTTCTATTAAATTAAACCCAAATATCTAGTATTTATAGAAGTACACCTAAAAGGTAATTCCATGTCTTGTTGACAGTTCTAGATTTACCTTTTGTGTAAAAGTGTCTAATCTCTGTGAAAACATCAGTGCCATGTATTATGGTTGTGAATTACACGTGCTGAATTTAGGAGCATGTTGACTTCATTGGACAAGATGGGAGATCAAGAATAAGAAGAAAATTGTGCAACCTGTTTGCCCATTTAGGATCATCCCAGAGGAGGAGGAGGAGGAGGAGAGGGAGGGGAAGAAGAAAAAGAAGGAGGAGGAGGAGGAAGAGGAGGAGAAGGAGAAGAAGGAAGAGGAGGAGGAAGGGAGGGGAAGAAAGAGAAGGAAGGGGAGAAGAAGAAAGAAAGGGTAGGAAAAAGAATAGGAGGAAGAGATGAGGAGGAGCAGGGGAAGAAGAGGAGGCAGAGAAGAAGAGGAAGAGGAGGAAAGGACAAGAAAAAGCAGAGGAAGGAGGAGAAGGGGAAGGAGTAGGAGAAGGGGAAGGGGGAGGGGAGGAGGAGGAGAAGAAAGAAGAGGTGGAGGAGGAGGAGGGGGAGGAGAAGAAAGAAAGAGTAGAAGAGGGGGAGAAGAAAAAGAAGAGGAAGAGGAGGAGGAGAAGGAGGAGAAGATGAAAGATCATCCCAGAGGAGAAAGAGTGGAAGGAGACGAAAAAAGAAAGGAGAAGAAAAAGTAGAGGAGGAGGAGAAGAGGGGGAGGAAGAGAGGAGAAGGAGGAAAAGAAGGGGAAAAGGAGGGGGTTGGGGAGGAGAAGTAGAGGGAGAAGCAGGAGAAAGAGGGGGAGAAGCAGGAGAAAGAGGAGAAGACGTAGAAGAGGAGGAAGATGGGGAGGAGAAGCAGAGATAGGAGGAGATGGTGGTGGTGGTGGTGAAGAAGAAAGAGGAGGAGGAAGAGGAGGAGGAAGAAGAGGGGGAGGAAGAGAGGAGGGGGAGGAGAACCAGGGGGAGAAGGAGGAGGTGGTAGTGGAGGAGGAAGAGAAGGAGGAGGATGAAGAAGAAAGAGAAGAAGGAGGAAGGAGGAGGAGAAAGGGAGGAGAAGCAGGGGAAGAAGATAATAATGGAGGAGTAGGAGTAGGAGTGGGGAGGAGCAGGGGGAAGGGGAACATGTAAACTTTGGTTTTGTGGTCATACCCAGAGTGAAGGATATGCTGACCAAATCAATTTCTTTCTTTCTTTCTTTCTTGTTAGCCTTCTTGTATCCTATTTAAGAGAATCACCAAACATTGGGAGAAAATAGGCCTGTTAGCCAACTGGGGGAGAGGATAGGATTTTGTCTGAAATATTTAAAATATAGTGTGTGTCACGGGTGGGTTCCTGCCAGTTCTAACCTCTTCTATAGAAGAGATTCCACAAATCTACTGTACCGTTTAAAACCGGTTCCAGCTCTCTTCCCCCACCTGTCCGCAGCACGCTCGGCCCCCCCGCCGCTCACTAATTGACTGGTTCACCAATTGCCCCACCCCCTCTAAGAGTCCTATCTAAACCTTAAAGTCTTAAAGCTGTCAAGTTTGAACACCCCTGGGGGTTTTTTCCTAAAGGGTTAGGGATGCAAGGGTCTTGTAACTTGACAGCTTTAAGACTTGCGTGCTTCAAATGCCAGAGTTTCTGAGCCAACATTTTGGTTGCTAAGCAAGAGCGTTGTTAAGTGAGTTTCACCACATTTTAAAGTTAGCCACACCCACCCGGTCAGATGACTGCCAAGCCACTCCCACCCGGTCACATGGCTGGCATGCCATTCCCACAAAGCAGGCCACATCTACAGAAGAGGTTTTAAAAAATTTAGAATTTAAAATTTTGGTGTGTGGTCTGAATTTAGGGAATCCTCTTGTACAGTAATTGCCACATTGGGTTGTTAGTTGAGTGCCAGGAATCAACATTTGAAGCAGGTGACTCCTGAAAGTTTATCAAATATTTCTTTCCGGTTTGCTTAGCCTTCAACAGAGCCATCCTTTCATATCAGTTAAGCAGCCTCATAGAAATAACCCTATATTGAATGAACTCATCAGGGTTAAATCAAGGTTTGTTCAGACCGAATGAAAGGCGAATAAACTTTTACAGTTGCCCTTGTGGGAGTCGTTGGCAGAGATGTTTTTTGGGGGCCGGGGGTGGGGGGAGCTGGGACGGGGGAGGGTATTCAAAATCTAGAAGCTATTTTGGAAAGGACTTGGAGGAGGTCACTGTCTGTACGCAAAGTAGATTCTTGGAACATAGTAAAAAAATAGTGCTTTTATTGGCCGGTTTTACAAGCAGAATCCATTAGTATCTAATATCCTGCGGGATAGAACAAAAATAAAAATAAAGCCATGCTTTCTCCAAAGTCAATTTTTGTCTTTTTTTTTTCTTTCCCTGGGTTAAATTGCTGACAGGCCTGGTGTAAGCAGGGGCATGGCTGCAATAGAAAACGGAAACGTTGCTGACGCAATAATTTTGTCTTGCAACATATTCTCTCAGCAAGTAGGAGCATTTCCTGTTAATTGGGGAATGGTCCCTGATTCCCCTCGTCCTCTAGAACGGCCTTTCCCAATCTGGCGCCCCCGTATGATTCAGAACAATATCTCACAAAATTCCCAGCCGTGTGGCCAACCTCAACAATAACTATGGCTGACCCAAAATTTGAGCGTTATATCATCCCAACATATCTGGGCCCGGGGAGGCAGATGTAAAATGATAATAATTTGTGGAAAAGAAGGCACACACACATACATACAGGTAGTCCTCGTTTAGCGACTGCCTTGTATAGCGACTGTTCCCAGTTACGACGATGATGATGGTGGTGTTGATGATGAAAAAGTAACTTTCTGGCCAATCCTCGCATTTACGACCCTCAATGGTCTGCAAAGCAAAGGAAAGCTGAAGGAAGTTCATAAGCACAGTTGCAGTTTCACTTAGCGACCACTTCATTTGCCGATCCTGACTGTGGTCGCTAAATGAGGACTATCTGTAATTTTCTTGAGAAAGACCATTCATAACATACACATTAAGTATTACAGCTTCGCTACAGCAGCTACCTGATTGCTGGTCTTCTTCTCCACCCCACTGTTATTATAGAATGCAAGGTCGTAATTGCCATAAATAAATGCACTAATATAAGTAAGACCTTAAAATGAAAGTATGCGCTCAGGTTTATGTTGTGTACAGTATAGGTATAAATATTCACTGTCTTATAGTTTAGCGTTTCGGTAATCACACTTTGGCTGTGACCTTGTTTGTGCTGGTTCCCCTTCTGCCCCCTTTGTGCATATATAAATATAAACATTGAGCAAAGTGGAAAAGAGCAGGGCCAGAGGTTAGGCCTCTGTAACACAGTGACGCCCCCTTCCTTCAGGGTTTACCTGCTTTCCTGCTGCCTTTGCAACTAATGTTTAACAAGGCTGCTTCAACCGGTTGTGTAGTGACAGCATTACATTCTGTAAACAATATTGTAAAGTGTTTTAAACACGTTTAAACAATTGACTCTTTATCTTGGTCAGCTGATAACTGATCGTCTAGTGGTTCATCGCACCCGCTGGAGTCCGTCATCCTCAGCTGGAAATTCTCACTGGTGCCCCGGGTGACACTGTCGTAGGAAGGGGGGAAGGAAGTGGAGGAGAGAGTTTCGGATTTGTCGATAGGCTTCCGGTAGTTTTCATCCATCATGCAGGCAATGAGGCCTTCCTTCTCTGGAGCCTCTTCTCCTGGGGTGCAGGTTTTTTGGCGATACAAGAAAGATGCTTGCTTGAGGGTACGTTGGAAAAGGTGACTTCTGTAAGCTCTCTGGATGACAGAAGCGGACACCTCTTCCTGTTTCCGCCTCAGCGTAGTGGTGATGGGTTCGTAAGATGCCTTCGATGGGTTGGCTGCCATGAATTTCTCCTCCATCTGTATTTTAAGGGCATCCATTTCTCCAGATTCTCCCAGAACCCTTTTGGTGAAAGCAAACAAAATATCTAAGCAGTGGATCCTGTCTCCGCTCACCATGGGAAGGTCCATGGCTATGAGCTTAACATGGTTGGGTTTCGCAATGCGCAAAGGTTCTGGCAGAGAATCTGCAAAACGGGAAAGGGCAGCATAGTTAATAAACTGTGTAGCTTCGGGGTCAAACTTCTCCCAGGTTTCGTAAAACATGTCAAAGTCATCCTCGCTTAGAGGCTCCGTGCTCTCTTCAGTGGCGACACTGAAGTTCTCCAAAATAATAGCTATGTACATGTTGACCACGATGAGGAAAGAGATGATAATGTAGGTAACAAAGAACAGGATTCCCACGGCGGGACTGCCGCAGTTCCCCTTTGACCCATTGGAGTTAACGTAGCTGGGGTCACAATAGGGGGGGCCCGTGTTCAAAATGGGGTTGAGAAGACCATCCCAGCCAGCCGACGTGGTGATCTGGAATAGGCAAAGCATGCTGTTGGCAAACGTCTCGAAGTTGAACATGTCGTCGATCCCGTGTTCTTTCTTGACATAGGCAAAGTTGGCCATGCCAAAGATGGCATAAATAAACATGACCAGGAACAGGAGGAGCCCGATATTGAACAAAGCAGGGAGGGACATCATTAAGGCAAACAGAAGCGTTCGGATTCCTTTGGCACCTCTGATAAGTCTCAAGATCCGACCTATCCGAGCCAGGCGGATGACTCGGAACAGCGTAGGGGAAAAGAAGTACTTCTGGATGATGTCAGACAGGACTGAGCCTTGGGGGAAGAGAGAAAGGGGGGGGGGAGAATAAACATCTGGTTAGTACTCAAGCTAACTAATTGGAACAATAGACTCTTCCATAAACTATCCTTGAGAAAGATCAGCTAGGCATCCAAATAGGGATTGCCACAGTCATCAGATGAGTCCTATCCTTCCCTTTTTATAGTTACAGGTAGTCCTCATTTAATGACCGGTCACTTAATAACCATTAAAAGTTACAGTGGATCCCCCCAAAAGCTACTTATAGCCAAAGGACTTGGACTTATATATAGCTTCACAGTGTTTTACAACCCTTTCTAAGCAGTTTACAGAGTCAGTCTATTTCCCACAACAATCTGGGTCCCCATTTTACTCACTTCGGAAGGATGGAAGCCTGAGTCAATCTCAAGACTAGAGTCATAAAATGGTTAGGGTTAGTGGTAGGTTTACAGTCAAGTGCAGACTGTAAAGTGAGGGCTAGGGTTTAGGTTAGGGTTAATGTTACAGCTAGGGCTAGTGTTCGGGTTGGAGTTAGGGCTAAGGCTAGAACTATGGTTAGGTATAGGCTAATGCTAACCCTAACCCTTTATTGTAAAGACATATGAAAATAAAAGAAGAACTGCAAAATAATGCACCCCTTTATTTTTGGCAGCACTTCGATATTGGAACACTGCTATTATATCATCCCTAGTCCTTCTGGGAATTAAAGTTCATGACTCTTAAAGGTGCCAAGATTGACAACTCCTGGTCTAGAGTCTCACACCAATATATCTAGTTAAACTATTAGCATCTATACTAGTTGGGTTTGGTCTAAAGACAGAGGAGCATTTTAATATGAACTAATAGAATTCAAATATCCTCAATCTAATGAAGAAATGGGAAACTATTCTTTACTTTTGGCTCTTCCCTGAATTTTTTCATGCAACCTTTCAGCTAAAATATGTACAAAGATGCATATCAGAGTAAACTGAATATGAAAGGCATACATTAATGGCATATTTTTGAGAAAATTGTTGCAAGAAAGTGTAAAATGCATATGAACTATTTCATATTTCATTCACACAGATGTAAATGAAAATTCATGTAACCTTCATGTGCACATTATTATTAATAATATTAATATTATTACCATAACTATTTTTCAAACTGATGGGAAAATGAGACAGAATAATCATGCACATGAAGCCAGACAGATTTGTATAGATTGACCTACCGACAATAGATAGAATCACAACTACAAAATCAAATATGTTCCATCCATTGGTGAAATAGTAATGCCTCAGAGCTGTCATTTTGAAGATACACTCTGCAGTGAAGATCGCAACAAAGACCATATTGATTCTGTAGAGGATGATCACTTTTTCTGGACTCTGGTCGTCGGTCTCCACCATCATGGTCACCATGTTTAGGCATATCAGAAGCATGATGCAAACATCAAAGGCTTGGTTCAAGACAAGGTCAAAGATGAAACCTTGAAACTTGTTCTGGAGACAGGAAGGAGATATTAGTATGTTATAGAAGTTAAGTCACACTTATGACAAGGCTCTCCAAACTTGGCAATTTTAAGACTTGTGGATTTCAACTCCATGCAGGCTGAGGAATTCTGGGAATTGAAGTCCACAAGCCTTAAAGTGGCCATTGGAGAATCCTCCCCTATGGTATAATTGAAAAGAAAATGATGCTGCCTGAGTTGGAATGAACTGTTTCATGGTTGAGTGCACAAGAATATTTTGCACATCGTAAATATTGCAAGAGTAGGTTGGACTGTGAAACCAAAAGCTAGGTCAACTCTTGATGGCCATAGCAATGAAGAAGCAGATTAATGGGCAGTATAATTTAACAATAGGTCCCTTAGCTATCATTAAGTACACACATACACACACACACACACAAACACACACACACACAGGTAGACTTTTCAGCATCTAATCGACCTTAGTTAATTTATCAAAAACTAAACCAAGCAAAGCTGAACATGGTTAATAATTGGAACGGAAACCACCATGGCTCTGGAGGTTGGGCTGGAAACTAAGAAAATATTCCATTGAACAGCAGACTAAACCATTTTCATTATCGCTAGAATCTTGGATTCACATGAATCCACCCACCCACCCACCCACCCAAACATCTATCCAAAAATCACCAAAACAAACGTTCAGCTGAATTCTTTTCTTTAGTGTACCATTCCCATTTTGGCAACAAACTGGACTCAGATGAGAGCAATCCTGTCATTAAGGGACACAGGAAGGTCTGCATAAGAATTTACAACCTCTGCTGGATAAGTCACACATTGAGCCCATGGCATTAATTCCCATAATACCCATTATAAGAAAGAGGAAATGGGTATGGTTAGGCCCACTGAACTGCCAGGAAAGAAGATTATCATGTTTGATCATGATCATAATTCTCTGATACAGGTAGTCCTCGATTTACAACAGTTCATTTGGTGACAGTTCAAAATTACAACAGCATAGAAAAAAAGGACTTATGACCGTTTTTTACACTTACGACTGTGGCAGTTTTCCTGTAGTCATGGAATCAAATTTCAGACACTTGGCAACTTGACTCATATTTATGACGGTTGCAGTGTCTCAGGGTCATGTGACCACCTTTTGCGACCTTCTATCAAGCCGAGTCAATGGGGAAGCCAGATTCATTTTACAACTGTGTTACTAACTTAATAACTGCAGTGATTCACTTAACAACTGTGGCAAGAAAGGTTGTAAAATGGGGCAAAACTCACCTAACAAGTGTCTCGCTTAACAAGAGAAATGTTGGGTTCAATTGTGGTTGTAAGTTGCGGACTACCTGTATTAAGAATACCACAATGTTCCAACTTTTTTGAGCAAAACTGAGTTGCAACTATGCTGGTATAGACAGGCTTATTTTTAGAATTCATTTTCAAGCTGTCTGTAGAAACACTTATTATGACCAACAAATCATCTATGGAGTAGTGGTCAAAGTGCTGGCCTAGAAACCAGAGGATGGCGAGTTGTAGTCCTGCTTTGGATATGAAAACCAGCTGGGTGACTATAGGCCAATCGCTAGGAGACAGTGAGTTCTAGTCTTCCCTTAAGCATGAAAACTAGCTGGCTGGGTGACTTTGGGCCAATCACCACAAACAATGAATTCTAGGCCTGTCAGTGATGAAAATTGGCTGGGTGAACTTTGGGCCAATCACCAGGAGACAGGGAGTTCTAGTCCCTCCTTAAGGCATGAAAACTAGCTGGGAGACTTGTGGCCAGTCACTTTTCCTCAGCACAATCCACCTCACAGTGGTTGTGGGGAAAATAGGAGGAGGAAAGGTTTATATATGTTTGCCACCTTGAGTTATTTATAAAAACATGAATAAATGTTTAATTATTTATTTGAGTTAATCATAAAAATAATAAAGTTGGGTTAAAAAAGTTAAAAAAACATGTAGGTGTGATGAGCAGTGTATTGATAAACAAAGAAAAATGAAAAAATAAATAAATAAAAATCTAAAAAATAAATAGCAGAAACCCACATATGTACATGCTATTGAAGATTTCAAAGGCTGGTGTCATTTATAGAAAGGAAAGGACCAGTGATGTGCAGTCAGGGGAGGCAGGGCCTCACCACTGTCATCATGAAAAGAAAAAAAAAATGTAAAAGGAAAAAGTTTGAGATAGTTGCTGCCAGAGTCACAGTGGATGACTCTGCTTAGGGCTTAACTGTTTAAAAAAGCCTCTTAAAAAAGTGCCCTCTGCAGGAGGAGACGAGAGAACCACGTGCCTCCTTTAGTCTATCTTTATGATCACTTGAGCAGAGTTAAGCAAGGGTTAAAAGCTGAAAAATTCCTGACGTAGATGAGGCACATGGTTCTCTCGCCTCCTCTTGTAGAGGGCACTTTTTAAAGAGGCTTTTTTAAAACAGTTAAGCAGAGTCATCCATTGGGGATTCTGGCAGCAGCTAACCCAGCCTGACTTCAGCAGCTCTTGCCTTTTTCTTTTTACATTTTTTACATTTTCATCATGGCAGACAAGAGCAGAGTTGAAATCCTCTGTGAAACATCTGGAAAAGGTATGTGGGTCGGAGGGAGGAATTCAAAATTAATGTAATTTGTAAGTAATTTGTGTGTGTGCGTGTGTGTGTTTGTTTCTTCACTCAAACAAACTCTCTCTCAATTTTAGAGAGAGTTTGTTTGAGAGGGAAGAGAGGGAAGGGGGTAGGAGTCAGAGAGGCAGGGAGGGCAGCCCACCAGCTTTCTTTCTCTGTCTCCACGGCAGCCTGCCAGCAGAGGTGGGTCTTTTGCCTGTCTCTGCTGGCGGGCTGCCACTTTCTTTTGCCCAGAGGCGGCAGCCCGCCTGAGCTGCCTGCCTCTGGGCAAAAGAAAGAAAGCGACAGCCCGCCAGCTCGCTTTCTTTTGCCCACGGCAGACATAGAGGCGGGCAAAAGAAAGCAAGCTGGCAGGTGGGTGCTTTCTTTCTTTTGCTCAGATGTGAGCAGCTCAGGCGGGCTGCCGCCTCTGGGCAAAAGAAAGAAAGTGACAGCCCGCCAGGTCACTTTCTCTTGCCCGCCTGTCAGAGCTCAGGCGGGCGAAAGAAAGAAAGCGCTTTAGACAGTGGGGTGTCGGGAGAGAAGACTGCCTCACTAGCTATAAACTTCACCGCATGTCACTGGAAAGGACACATCAAAGAATTGGAAAGTAGCTCTGGATCACAAACTTGGATGGCCAGTTTATATTTGCACTGAAGAGTTGGGGGTTTTAAATACACTTTGCTGCCACCTAGTGACTAGTTGGATATTTGCACACCAGAGCTTGTAGTCCCAGTTTGGGAAGACTTACCAGCGGACGGGGGATGGGCTTCTGAGGTTTCTTGGATCCTAATTTTTTCATGGCATTATAGTATTTTTTCTGTTCCTCAGTCATGAAGATGTCTTGTCCACCTAAGTATAGGGAGATACCATTAATGTTATTTTGGTTTGGAAACTAAACAAGGTATGTGGATATGTCACTTTTTATCATCTATCATGTATTCCCAGTAACATTCTAACTCATTGCTCTTTAATAAGGATTAGATTATGTGATGTGCTGATTAAGGAGCAGAAGACTTAAATTCTCTGGTCCCTCTGGTGCCATAGAAGCTGAAGAAGAGTCTCGTGGCAAATAGGCAGCCATGAAAATAGCTTTAATTATTATTATTTTTCTTTTTATGACCCTTTTACTGGGGTGGAGTCAGGGCAACTGAATGGAGCTGAGCGTTTACCGGCTGGATGCCCTTCCTGACACCTATGCAGAGTTCGCAGCAGATATTTTTGCTTTGCGCTCCAAGAGAGAAAGATCAGCTGCTGCCTGGGATTGAACTCTTTAACTTCCCGAGTGGGAGGTGAGCATCTTCATCTCTAGGCCACTGAACCGCTCATTTAATTAATACATTGGTTAATAAAATAAACTCCCTGGGAGACTTTGAGACAGTCCCACTGTCAACCCAACTTATTTTGAAAAGTTGTTGTGTGGACAACAGTAGAAGGGATGGGGGTTCATCAATGAAAACTCAAATAGAAATCTAATAAATAAATAAATTTGATTGCAAACAAAAGATTGTGGATTTTTCCTTGGGCATTTTTAATTTAATTCTGATGGAAGACAAAAGGAGTCTCTTTTTTCAAGTGTGACTCTCAACTTGCAATCTTTCATTTAGTGATCATTTGAAATTACAATGGCACTGGAAAAAGTGACTTATGACCATTTTTCACACTTAGTCATTGCCAGCATCTCTGTGATCACGTGGTTAAAATTTGGCTGCTTGGCAACTGGCACATATTCATGATGGTTGCAGTGCCCAGAGGTCACGTGATCGCCATTTGTGACCTTCTGACAAGCAAAGTCAATGGGGAAGCCAGATTCACTTAACAACCGGGCTGCCATCTTAACAACTGCAAGTGATTCACTTAGCAACGGCAGCAGGATAAGTCGTAAAATGGGATAAAACTCAATTAACAAATGTCTTACTTAACAACATAAATGTTGGGCCCAATTGTGGTCATAGGTTGAGGACTACCTGTACTTCAGTGTTATCCCATCTACCTGCAAAGCATGTGCAGGGATGTCAGTCAGAAGATGTCAAAAAAGTCGAGACAGTGATTGCATAATCAAAACCCCACTCTTCTTTTTGATGTGCCACTCAAGATCTTGATTGTGCAATTGTGGCTGCTACATTGCCTTTTGGGGCATACACTTTTCCTCAGTATGGTGTTCTTTTGCTGATTGTACAGTCATATCTCGACTGCTTTAAAACACATCAAATTTGCTACTTAAGGCATTTTGACATGAAAATTTTGTCCCAATACTCATCATTTATTTGGTGAACTAGCTGGTTAGAACTTGTTGGTGTCAACTGCCTCATGACTCACTACCTTTCCAGCTGAAAAATAGGGTGATACGTTAGTCATGTGAGTTATTTGGTGCTTGCCGTGCCTTCTGGAACCAATTAACTGTGAGCACCGAAGTATCATTGTAACTAGATTTACTTTCATTAAGTTCATTACACCTTTCTGATGCAAAAATCCGACAAAATCAATACAGTATAGTAATGCAAGGTTTGAAAAAGAGAAAACGACAGTCAGAATCTTACACAGCTGTTGAATAAGATTCAAAGTGAACTACTTATCTTCTTTTTTTGTTGATTAAAATTGTCAATGATGACACCAATGAAAAGATTCAAAGTGAAGAAAGAACCGAAGATAATAAAGATCACAAAATAGAGGTACATGTACAAGTTATATTCCCACACAGGCTGTTCTTCTCTCTGCGAAGGAAAATGGGAAATAAGAGAAGAACAGAATGAAAATCTATCAGGATCTCAAACGCCATCATTGCTGTTTCTAAATTGAGCCATCTTTCCCCTAACCCAGTTGGGGTTGGATGATAAATATCATCTTTCCACACCAGTAGCTGGCTAAACTAATAAAATTCAGCTCAACTAGGAACCCCTTGATGTGAGATTGTAGTGAATTGTTATGAAAAAAGGAGAATAAACTCAGATAGGCAGGAGTCAGACAAGAAGAAATAGTGAGCGTAAATCCTAAGGTTTACCTCATAGAGAGAATCCTCAGCATATGACTGTAATGGAGACTGTCCATTACAGTTGCAAGTGGTGTGGCCATTATGCAAACATGCTGGTTGTTAAGTGGAGCACTGAGTGTGTCAGGGCAGACCCCAGCATGCTTACTCCAGGCCTCCCAAATCCCAAGGCACCCTATAAATCACTTCTCTCCTCTTGGGTCCTTGGTCTTTGCCCCCCTCCCACAGGACGCCCACAAGCTCTTCCTCACACTGGGTCCCCATAGGGTTTGGGCCTTCTCCCCACTGCTCATCCCCCATTACGCACTTATCTTGTGAAGGGCTCCAGAATATTCTGCAGCACTCTACGATCTGGGTGGCCATGTGCAAAATTCCAAAATGATCAACATTTTCAAGATTCCCACAATTCTTTGTGGTCATGCTATAAAAGCAGCCACTTCTTCTGTGAGAGTGCCACATAGGCAGGGATGAACCACTCTGTTTTGCTTCTCAACTGCCCAGCGCTGCAGAAAACTCCGGAAGGTCTGCCCTCCTTCCCCAGTATGACATCTTCAAAAGGTAAGTGTGGGTTGTTGGGGAAGGAGAGGCAGAGTCTAAGGGCGGAGTCAAGAGAGGAATCAGCCTGGAGTCCTGACGTTGCCACCAGACGTCCAAGCTCTCCTTGAATTCTGTTCACCCTTATCTAATGCCAGTTCAGTGCTGACAGTTAGTTAACTACATTTTTGTGGTTGTAAATATGAAAGACCAGTTATAAGCCATTTTTTCCCCAGTGCTGTTGTAACTTTGAATGGTTGCTAAACAAATCATTTTGTATTGAGGACTGCCTTTGATGTCAGAAATTTGATGTCAGATTTTTTTTTTGTTTAAAAAAAGAGAAGTAAAAATGGCACTAAAAATGTTTTAATTATTCCTTGCTGGCAAAAATTGCCAGTAGTGACAGACTGCAGTTAGTCTGCTGTTGGTTGGAAGTTGGCGCTTACTAGCTGAAAACAAGCCAGTTGGTCTGACAGGCCTGTTTTCTGCTGGCATGCAATATGCTTTCCCAGTGCCTGAATTTGCCCACTGTCACTCTACACACCGTGCCCTGCAGCTGTGCCATGAAAACAGCTGTGTAAAGGAAGGGAATGCACAAGTCACTGGAAGACAAGGATTGCCATCCGGCCCTACTTTTCTATAGACAATCCTGCTGTTACGTCTACCTGGTAAAGTCAAGACAACTAATTCCTGACAGGTTGAGGGGGGGAAATCCCTATAAGTTGCACTCGTTGTTAATGAGCGGGATGTACAGAACAAAGCCAGCAGGGAAATATAAGGCAGAAGAACCTCACCTCTCGTGAATCTACCGCTGCATACATAATGGACATCCAACCTTTAAAAGTTGCCTAGAAAAAAAAGAAGAGAGAGAAGTGGGGGGGGGGGGGGGGAAGAGCAATGCATTTGATTTAGGCAGTGATAATCAGCCGTGACTTTCTTACTTTGTGCTTTATCTGCAGTTTGGTGGCAGTGAGGAAATTTCTCAGTGCGATTAATAAAATAGTAACATGGTGCCCTGGATTCTGGCTAGCACGAGAGCCTAGAGATAGATTCCACTTTGGCTGTATGAACTTTCTAATGATTTAAAACATGACACTGCCTGGGGGGAGGTGGAGGAGGAGGAGAAAAAGAAGAAAGATAGAACAAAAAAAAGGAGGGTGGTAGAGGGGGAGGAAGAAGGAGAGAGAGATAGGAGAATAGGAGGGAAAAAGGAAGGGAAAGGAGAAGAAGAGGAGAAGGAGGAGGAGGAAGAAGAAGAGGGAGGAGGAGGAGATCTTCATCATCATCACCATTATTAACAGGGACCAAATGGAACCAATTCCTTTCCCCCCTCCCCCAATAGCTCTTACCCATCTTTCTCTAAATTGGTCCCTTTCCTTTCTGGGAAGACAGCAAATTATCCAGGTAGATCACCTCTGGACCACGTACCTTTAGGGCAGGGTTGAAATTCAGCAGGTTCTGGAGAACCAGGAGCAGAAATTTTAAGTAGTTCGGAGAGCCATCAAATGCCACCCCTGGCTGGCCCCAGAGTGGGGAGGGAATGGGAATTTTGCAGTGTCCTTCCCCTGCCACAACCATCAAGCCACGCCCACAGAACCGGTAGTAAAAAATGTGAATTTCACCACTGCTTTAGCTACTCTTATGAGACTCATCATATACAGCTTCGTTAAAGTAGGTTTAAAACACCAGAAGCTACTGAGAAAATTGGCTTTTTTATTAACAATTTTCTCCTGAAATGCAGGCATGCTGCAGTGTAACACTAAGGGTAAATGAATAAAAGAGCCATATCTACTATGGTAACCAACAGTACTATAATTAAAAATATTGCCTTTGCCCTCATGAAATAATTGTAATTGTATGTTTACTTCTGAGCGTTTGAAAAGGTTCCAGCCTTCTATTGACCAAAATTTAACCTTTTCTCTTCCTTACACGCAACATTAAGGATGAAACTGTGTATTCTCAATATATCAAGCCAAGACAGATAAATAAATAGGAATGAAGACAAATCTATAGCCAATCCAGAGAGAACGCACCGGCACTGATTTGTTACAAACAAGGACAAATCACTGCATTCAATGAATGCACTGCTACCAAAAATGCAACCTTCACATGTATTCCAATACTTTTGAGCCTGGGCAAAATAGGATAATGTACATTCCCTAGTGGCTGTTGTTTTGAATGAAAGGGAAAAAAGGTCCTAATGCTCGACATTAAATTTGAATTAATTGTTAAATCACTGAATAAAAGCCAATTGAGCACATGTGAAATAACTTACTCCAAAGGGGTTGTAGATGACAGATTATCTTCAAAGTCAAAAATTGTTTGAGAGGAATGAAATCATGAGGTTTTCTTTATCTTTTGGGGGAATAGAAGTTGGTAATAGAAGTGAAGGGGGAGGGGCTTTGTGTGATTGGTAATTGAAACAAAAATAAAACATTATCTCCTTGCTTTTATACGTTACGTCCAATATTCCATTTCCCTTTTCATTTCTGCTCTTGAGCCTAAGAAATGTGCATCCTTTGAGACCTCCTCCTGATTTTTCCTCACTGTACAGTGTGTTCCTTCCCCCTGCCTTTCTCCGTTGAAAATCAGTGGATCCATAAAGAGAGACAATGGAAAACCCCCAAGTATGGAAATAATGGTTGGAAGGGACCTTAGAGGTCTTCTATTCCAACTTCTCAAGCAGCAGACCCTGTAAGATTCTGGACAAGTGGCTTCCAGTCTCTTCTTGAAAGCTCCAGTGATAGAACACCCACAAGTTTGGAAGGAGGAGGATGGGAGGGAGGGAGGGAAGGAAGGAAGGGAAGAAATAAAGAAGGAGAGGAGATGAGGAGGAGGAGGAGGAGGAGGAGGAGGGAAAGGGAGGGGTGGGAAGCAGAGGGGACGGAGAAGGAGAGGAACAGAGAGAGGAAGAAAGGAAGGAGAGGAAGGGAGGGAGGAAGAGGAGGGAGGGAAGAACGGAGGGAGGGAGGGAGGAAGCAGGGAGGGAGGGAGGAGGCAGGGAGAGAAGGAGGGAGGGAGGAAGGAGAGTAGGAAGGAAAGAAGGGTATTATTATGAAAATATTGATATAGCCCAGGGGAAAATGGGAAATCCAAGGGAAAAAAATCACAAGCAACTGGAGATGAAAAGACCAGATAACGTTACAGGTTGTTTCTCTGAAACAAACAATGATCTAATCCTACATATTGATTCTTCTGCAGGTGGTTTGATAATTCTTCCTCTGCCTCCTGATGTTTCTATAAACCCCCTGGATAGAAATTTGAGCTTCTTACTACATCGTTACACTTAAAAGCCATTCCTTCTGCTCTGGAAGTTTAGGGCAGGGGGGGGGGAAAGGGGGTTCTGTAGAACACAGTCTTCAAGAAATGCCTCGTCCTTCCTTGCACTGCTTCCCTATCGGTGAACACTGCCTTGCGTATCTCTGCATGGCATTTCCATCCTGGGGGTGTTATTCGAGCTGAACTCCAGATGGAGGAGAAATGTGGCATTTATCATTTTTTTTAAAAAAGTCATTGTGGCTCATGAATTGATCGGATGGTGCCAAGATACTGATGAAGGCAGAGCTGCTGAACGAAAGGCTTCCCCACCCAGGGGAAGGCGAGATAATCTAAAGCTCCTTTGGAGTTCTGGAATCCTTCACTAGGCACCCTTGCAGACAAGTGATGATAGCATGAAAAATGAAGCCAGGGAGGAAAATATATATATATATCAGGGAATTAGGAGCCACTTAAGAGTCCCGATCTGGAGGTGACAAAAAGTGTGGTCTGTGGTGCAAAATTGTCGTTCCGGAAAACATCCACATAAATACTATCTCCTATTACAGGGGGTCTCCAAACTTGGCCATTTTAAGACTTGTGGACTTCAACTCCCAAAATTCCTCATGCTGGCTAGGGAATTCTGGGAGTTATAGTCCCTAAGTCTTAAGGTGGCCAAGTTTGAAGACTCCTGTCCTACTGAAGCCAGCGCTGCTACTGATACAAGAGTGGAATTCTACTCAAGGCAGAACAAGAAGCAACAGGTGGAAGTTAATCAAGCAGAGAACCAACCCACAAATAAGGAGAAACTTCCTGACATTGAGAACAATTAATATTAATTAACAATTAATTAACAACATTAAAATAATAGGGTTAACTTAGCCAGTAACCAATGGACTGAGTCTACCAAAGTGATGTCATAGCCTCTGGGGAGTGTCCTCCCGCTTTCTTGACGAAGGAGAATAAGTAGACTGCTCTCTGTTGATCCCTGCTCAATTATCTCTCGTACCGAATGGTCCAGACATAGGCCCGCATCAGAAAGGGTTTTTTGAGGGAAACTGTTGCCGATTGCCAATGAAAATAAAAAGTGAATGCAACTGATAAAACAACAGGGCCATGATATCAAACCATACTTAGCAGCCAAACAATTATGTGTTGTTGGAGGTGCCAACAATTAGAAGCAAGCTAGGCTTGGTTTTGGTTCTTTTTCTTTTCCAGTATATTAAAAGCCCCTCTTTATCTCTGTCATTTACCCAAGTAAACCATGTGAGCTATCTAGCTACTTGTAGTTAGCAAATTTGCAAAGGGAATCTATCTGAAAAGCCAGCAACACTGTAAGAAAATGAAATTGAACCACAACTCAGCTGTGAGAAGATTAAACTGGGAGATGAGAAGCAGGAAGAGGGAACTTGACATTAGAGCTGCCCCCCCACCCCCACCCCAATGAAGACACCTTGCCCTGCCCTTGCGCTAATATATTGCTTTCTTCAGTGAGACCAGTTTATGGCAAACTTAACATTTCAAAATCCATTCCTGACAATTGCAGAAACCAGTTTGATGAAGCAGCTAAAATGATGGGTTAGAAACTAGATAAACATCAGTTCTGGTCAACTACTTACACGTGAAAACTATTTGAGTGACTTTGGCTTAGTCACTCTCTTTCAGCCAACCCCACTTCATAAAGTGGTTGATATAGGAGAACTAGGAAATGGAAACATTAGGTACATAGGCTGCCTTGAGTTAACTAAACATAAACATGGGATAAAACATGATAAAAAATAAAGAACAAACTCCACAGATGGGCTGGGAAAATCCCTGCTTGAAGTTGTTATCAGTAGGAATAAACCATTCTGAACCAAATGAATTTATTTATTTATTAATTTATTAAATCGATTTATAGGCCGCCCAATCCCGGAGGACTCCGGGCGGCTTACATCGAAGAAAGAAGAATAATTTAAAAAATGACAATAAAAACATGTTAAAAACAACATACATACATTCGTTACGATCGGGGTTGGATCTCAACAATGAGGTCAACAGCCCCAAGCCTGCTAGAATAGCCAGGTTTTCACAGCTTTTCTGAAGGCCATGAGAGTGGGCAAGGTCCGGGTTTCTGGGAGGAATCAAAAGTTCCCCTAAGTATAAAGCATTTTCCTTTGATTACAGTAACTGTAACTGATCACAGTAACTGATCAAGGAGTCCTAGTGGATCACCATTTCAATAGGAGCCAGCAGTGGGCTGCAACTGGCAAAAAAACCAATGAAGTCTTAGGCTGCATCAACAGAGGGATAGCATCAAGATCACATGAAGCTCTAGTGCTGATATATATATATATATATATATATATATATATACTGCTTTAGTAAGACCACGATTAAAATACTGCATCCAATTTTGGTCACTGCAATATGAAAAAGATATTGAGGCTCTAGAAAAAGTGCAGAGAAGCAACAAAGATGATTAAGGGGCTGATTTAATGGAAAGAAGGATTACAGGATGACATGATAGCAGTCTTCCAATATTTGAGGGGCTGGCACAAAGAAGAGGGGGGGGTGTCAATCTCTTTCCAAAGCACCTGAGGGCAGAACAAGAAGCAATGGATGGAAACTAAGCAAGGAGAGAACCAATCCAGAACGAAGGAGAAATTTCCTGATTAGAACAATCAGTGGAACAACTTGCCTCCAGAAGTTGTAAGTGTTCCAACAGTAGAAGTTTTTAAGAAGAGATTAGACAACCATATGTCTGAAGTGGTGTAAGGTTTCCTGCCTGAGCAAGGGGTTGGACTAGAAGACCTCCAAGGTCTCTTCCAATTCTGTTATTCTGTTATAAATAGTTGCAGGAACTGGGAATGTCTGATCTAATGAAAAGAGGGACTAGGGATGACATGATTGAAGAGAGAAGGGGGTCAGCCTGTCCTCCAAAGCAGCTGAGGGCTAGACAAGAAGTAAGAGATGGAAATTTATCAAGGAGAAAACTATCCTAGAAATAAGAATTCCTGTCTTATGAAACACCTGGAAATGAATTGACGTCTTTCAAAGCAGTCCTGATTATTGGTATCTCTAACCTCATGGCTTATTATCCAGGATCTAATGACTTGGACCTCATTATCCAGGAATTAATAAAGGCCATATGCTGAATGGTCTTTTCTCATCTGCCTGCAATGGAGGTTAAAAGATTGATAGATATGGGGGTCCCTCTCCCACCCTCCTAGTCCCCAACAATGAGATAGGATTGCTATATAGCTGAGGGAGAGGTTAAGAAATAGAAATATAAAAATAAATATAGAGTAGTTAATTTTACTCCAATATTTGGAATTGTATTTATTTGGAATTGCCTTTAGATTATTAATTAATAATTCCATCTTTCTATGAATTATTAATTGTAATTATTGGAATAATAATTGGGATTGTATGGGGTCTCCTGCTTTAGCAGTTGGACTGTTGTTTCCCTGAAAATAAGATCTTCTTTTGACCACTGAACTAAGCACTTGGCCTTATTTTCACGGAAATCTTATTATTTTTGAGGTGCAGGAGGCAGTGATTGTGGTCACCTCATAGCTGCTGCTGCATTGCAATATTTTGGGGGAAGAGCTTATTTTAGCGCATGCGCTCAAAAGCCTGATTGGGCTTATTATCCAGGGAGGGCTTATTTTCAGGGAAACAGGGTAGAAGACCTCCAAGGTCCCTCCTTCAGCTCTATCTGACTGATTGATTTAATGAATGAATGAATGCTGATAAGAGTGCAGTTCACAGAATGTCATTCTGACTAATGCGGGACAATCATCTTAAGAACAAAACCTTGAGCTAAAAGAGAGTTTCGAGATTAAAGAGAGATCCAACCTAAAGGTAAGGAGAAATTTTCTGACAGTGAGATCAATTAATCAATGGAATAGTTTTCCTCCAGAAGTTCTGGGTGCTCCATCACTAGAGGTTTTTAAAAACAGACAGGACAGGCATTTAACTGGGATGGTTTATGATCTCCTGCCTTGAGCAGTGGGTTCGACTAGAAGACCTTTGAGCTCCCTTCCAGCCCCATGATTCTGGGCTCTATGTTCTAAGCTTGAAATCTGCATCTGAAGACAGCAGAAAGGGCTCCCATGATTGTAACAAAACAAACACAAAAAGGTGGGATGCTCAAGCCGTGATGCGCAGAACTGGAATTTTAATTGTGTACCTTATTTGCACCCATGAAATGTTGGCTGATACAGAAAAGAGCTAATTCAAGAACAGTGCTTGTTTTCTAGCACCCATCACTGAAGGTTAGTGTATTATTTTGGGAAGGGACTGTAGCTCATTGACAAATTACATGCAAGCAGATTTAATCTCTGATTCAAAGGGATCTCAGGGCAATGGAAAACTGGTCTGTAAGCAGCCAAAGATCAAAGCTGACAATGCTAGGCTAAATATCCGTCAAAAGGTAATCTGAGTCAGCTTCATGTGTCCACAGGAAATTCTGCTCGTTGCCTATCCTCTGGCTTCTAAGAGTGCAGAAGGCATCATCAACACCTATTCTACTCAAGTGTGCATTGCTGGAAGATAAAAAGAAAACCAATGTTTTTCAAGGAAGTAGGATTTTTGAACTGATTACAAAAGCCTTTGTTAAGTCATCTTTCTTTATGCATGTCTGCTTAGATGATGTCTTGTTGCTGAAGAAACATGATGGAACTATTACCATGGCTGGCTTGTTAATTTCTCCAAGATCTTCCCAATAATGGCTCAATTCAACAACACATTCAAAACATTACCAGCCAATGATAATATCTGTGTTCTTATTTCACACAATGAAAAAAAATTGAGGGTCTGTCACAGAGGGGTTTGACCTATTCTCCAAATCACCTGAACGCAGGACAAGAAGTAATCGATGGAAATTTATCAAAGAGAAAACAAACCTAGAACTAAGGAGAAATTCCTTGACAGTGAAAACAATTAATCAATGGAACAGCCTGTGTTGTGGATGCTTCATCACTGAAAGCTTTCAAGAAGAGATTGGACAGTCATTATTTTGGAATAGTGTAAGTTCTCCTGCTCAGTCAGGGGGTTGGATTGGAAGAGCTCTAAGGTCCCTTCCAACTCTGCTATTCTGTAATTCATAATATCCTAAGATGGAACAAATATATAGTACTAGAACAAATATATAGTAGGGTTTAATGTGATTGCCTGATTCTCATGACATACTTAGATATAATGTGATTTAGCCACTGAAATTTATTCAACGTGTCGAATTTCATGTCATCAAGAACATAATATGAAGGTCTGGTTTTTCCAGCGTTATCCCTGTTCTTCCTCAGATCATGATTAGGCCAATTCAAGGCATTTGGTCTAGTAAGGATAAAAAGACACGTGTAATATTTCCTAGCAAATCAGGATTTCAGCCCAATATTTTGATTTAGTTCACATTGAAATATTGTCTGCTGATCCAGCACGAGCTCACTGAAGTAAGGGCATTGCATTTTGCCTTCTATTTTTTTTGTTTTAGAATTCTACTTGCTATTTTAAGGCCCCTGTCTCAATATTACTAATTGCAAGCAGAAAAAACAAACAAACTGGTAAAAACATTTGGCTCTCAAATTGTGCATTGTCGAGAAATATTTGGTGCGTCATGACATAGATCTATGCCATGCCCTATTAAATGAACTAGAAAGTTGGGTTCTGCAAAAACAGCATAAAATGGCCTCTCTTTCCTTTCCTATCCCTATAAAAGAGAAATTTTGCTAGTTTAACATTCAACAAAGAAATGCGAAACTGGACTATTTATTCATTTGAGAGCCTTAAGCATAGAAGAGTTTAAGCACAACTGCTTCATTACAAAGGAACGGAAATGTGGACTTTCTGATTTAATTATTCCATAGCAAAAAAGGAACTGCAGAGACAATCCTTGCTGAACCTCATTTGCAATCTGGTATGTAGGCAAGACAGCCTGAAATAAACAGGGAATCCCACAAATGTGAGACAACTAGGCATACATTCAGATTAACACAAATGCCTACTCTTCAGCAGTTCCCTTTTGTCTTCAGCTCTAAGGAACATAAAACTTATCCAACAGAAAATGGAGTAAGATTATCCCATTACAAAGAGACTTTGAAGGTGAACTACTGCAATCTTTATCTGTTTTGACAACTAGCAATAGCAACAGCAATAGCACTTAAATTTATATACCGCTTCCCAGTGCTTTTATTGCCCTCTCTAAGCTTTACCACACTGTGTAAGTGGTTTACAGAGTCAGCCTATTGCCCCAAGCAATCTGGGTCCTCATTTTACCCACCTCGGAAGAATGGAAGGCTGAGTCCTGAACCTTGAGCCCCATCAAAATTGAACAGATACAGCCTTCAATATACCACTTTCTAACCTCTGTGCTCTAACTTCCTATCTGAAGTCATCTATATGTAGGACTGGTATAATTCGTTTCAACATGTCTGGAAGCACCAGATCTGTGTTGAAACATGTAAATTCCTTAAATCACTGAAAAATATAATGTACCATCATCAAACATATTGGAGAAGTATATCTCACTTCATAAAAGACCAGGCGATAAATCTCCTCTTTCTAGAAACTTAACATCACACTCAATAGGTAATTGCAGAAACTTTAAAGATATGCCAAATGAGCTATTTTAATTGCAAATACGAAAGATGCAGTATGCACACAGAAGAACCATCCATCACAGAGCACACAGGAATCAAGGCTTATTTGTGCACATATCAGATTAAACACAGATGAAGGAACTCTGGATCAGAGACAGAATCTTAGAAGAGCCATTTCTTCCATTGTAGCAGAACATTGAATAATAGGAATGTCCCTTCAATATGACATTTGCTATCATATGGCCCATATTTGAATAATCTAAATAACACCTATAGATCCCCTTTTTCCATTGGGCTTTCTCCCCCCCACAAAAAAACCCCCATATTTTTATCTAAATTTAATTAATCTGACATTTCATATTGAACCAAGCGGGCATTTCCTTGGCCGAGAGACATTTCCAATGATGATCTAGATGAAATTTAAACTCACCACTTGAAGCAGAGCCAGGTAACCAGCACCAACATTGTCAAAGTTGACTTTCACTACGGTCCAGTACAACTCTCCAGTGTCATTCATGCTTTGACACTCACTCTTGTTGTTGACAATTGTGTGGTTCAAAGGCTCATCGCCTTCTGTCTTGTTAATGCATTTCCCAAATTTGCCGGCAAACAAGTTGACTCCCATGATGCTGAAGATGAGCCAAAAAATGAGGCAGACAAGCAGAACATTCATGATTGAAGGGATGGCCCCTACCAAGGCATTCACTACCACCTTTGACGGAGGAGAAGACAACATTCAGTTAATTGCAATGGATCTGCTGTGTAATCCCACCTAGAACCTAGTTGCTCTACACACCTCCTAACTCAAATTATACACCCCGAAAAAAGACAGTTTAAAAATAAACTTATTTAGCAAACGTAAGTATGGAAGTTCCTTCTGTTTACTGTCTTTTTTTTTTTTAAAGAAAAGACAAATGACTTTCCACAAGTTCATTCAACTCAGGGAATTAACTAACTTATCCATCCAAGATTTTGTGTTGTTCTAATAAAAATGTATTGATACTGTACAGGTAGTAGTCAACTTACAACAGTTCATTTAGTGAACATTCAATGTTGCAACGGCACTGAAAAAAGTGATGACATTTTTTCACTTGCAGCATCCCCATGGTCATGTGATCAAAATTCAGGCAACTGACTCATATTTATGACGGTTGCAGTGTCTCTGGGGCAAGTGATCCCCTTTTGCAACCTTCTGACCAGCCAACTCAATGGAGAAACCAGATTCACTCAACGACCGTGTTACTAATTTAATAAATGCAGTGATTCACTTAACAAATGTGGCAAGAAAAGTTGTTATATGGGGCAAAACTCACTTAACAATTGTCTGGCTTAGCAAAATAAATGTTGGGCTCAATGGTAGTTGTAAGTTGAGGACTACCTGTATCTAGTTTATTTAGCACTGCTTTTGATATCTGAGCTCTTCTCATCAAGATACGATTCCCTTCCATTGGCAGCTATATGAAAATAAGCGTCAAACTTCCCAGATACTGAAGCACAATGTGGAAATGCCTCTTTTGTTGTGTTGACATGGAGCCATTAAAGCAATATTCAGTTTCTGGAACCAAAGTTGGCTTTATAATGTGGTGTTGCTGCTCCCTAATTTATCTTGGCCATCAAAAGCATATAGAAGAGCAATATTTTATGAATCATTATTGTCATAAAATGCTTTTGCCAGCTGAGAGCCCACTGTGTAGGACTTACTACATGTTTAATATTTATAGGAACCTATCTTCTGATTAATAATTAATATAGTATTGTTTATCAAAGCTCTAAGATGCATCGGCATACCTATGGCTCCAGTAGATATGCCTAGAATGAGAAAGGGAGATTTTCTTCCAATTAACAAATATATCCAAGGAATAATCTTTTGAAACTCACATCCAGTTTGTACAAACATGCACACACACTATAGATACGAGCAATTCCAGCATGTTTGAGTATGCATTCACATGGAACAATGTAATGTAGGAACTGCATATTCAAGCTACTGTGAGCATGATTATTAAGACGTAGCTATGAGAATTGCTGCAAATTATATTCATGGTCATCTGTGTAAACATTCTCAGAAAGAGTGCATGGTTCTACATGATTGAAACTGTTCATTTGTTCAAAACACTTGCATACATCATTTCCATTCATTGCCTATTAAGGCCTGTATCATCACAATAGTTGGATTGAAATCAATCCCGTAATTTTTGATTACATTTAAAACTGAACTACAATTTGGATTCGATCTCCAGATTTTATTCATTAGACACCTGTAAATCAATGAAATCCTGGAAGATTGAGGGCCATTACCATCATATCAATTCAGGTACTGAATGATATAACTCAGGATCTCCAAACTTGGCCACTTTAAGACTTGTGGACTTCAACTCTCAGAATTCCTGAACCAGTCATGCCGGCTATGGAATTCTAGGAGTTGAAGTTCACAAGTCTTAAAGTGGAGACTCCTTAGCTCATATAGTGGAAGAAGACATCCCTCTCTCTCCTCTAGAGAAGAGGACAACATTTCTGCTTGGTGGCTTGATCTGACCTGTATCATCTTTCCCCCATTTTTTGATATGGTCATGATGCAGATACCTGCATCTACTCTGAACATTTTTGAGACTAAAACAGAGGACTGTTTCCCCAGTCCTTGATTTATCACTGGAACACATTCTAGTAACAGAAATTCCTCCTTGCTTTCATTTGTTCAAGTTTTCATATAAATTTCATATGTTACAAATTTCTGCTTTTCTGTATCTTCCCAGCAGGATCAATGAGCAATATAAATTACTTCATGATAATTCACGCAAAGATAATACTGCATAGCTGAGGACAGAATTATGTAAGATCTGGTCAAAAGACCAGGAATGTAGATTGGAATGAGGCCAATCCACTTTGGAAAAGTTTAAGACCAAAGAAACATACATCAATCAAGGCAAGATAACACCATTGTGGTAAGAAAAGTCACATTTGCAATATTGTACTGAAGCAATGGAGATGGATATTTTAGCAGGATAAAAATTATCACCTCAGGCATGAAACATTTGAGTAATATTGACATGCACTCCAACAGACAATACAGTAAATTACAGACACATCGCTCAAGTCATCAGTCACCAATCTCAGGTATAAAGAAGGGAGGAGTTATGCACACAGAACATGAAAGATTCTATATACTATTCAGCAAAAGACAATACTGACTAAACAAAAAATGTAGGGTGGAACTGCAATTGTCTTGTGTTCAGATGATCTGAGCTGAATTACTTGGAGATGATTCTCACAATTGTTACTTTCGCTGGCTTAAGACAACCTTGCCAGCTCAGTAACTCCGTTTCTCCTCCTCCTTGTTTTTATCAAGTGCAAATATGTCTCTCTTTGTTGATTTGTGTCTTTGATCTCCGTATCAGCTTTTACTTCACCTTCCTTGGATTTCTGGAATGGAGGCTAAGCTGTATTGATCTCAGGAAATCACACGTTGTTTCAAGTGTCAATCGAATGATAGGAAATGTTACATCTCATCTAATGAGTCCATTGTAGACTTTGGGACAAGCCAATAATATAGTTGATTTATTTCGATGCAGCACATGCACTTTGGTGTGTTTTCAATGTATAATTTATTACACTTTAAACACAGAATACAGATACTATGAAGTTCTCTTGAAAACTTCATACCTAATATTGTTTGTAAGATTTACACTCTTTTTCCCCTCCAGGAATCAAGGTGGTGTAAGCAGCATTTTTGCCTTCAATTTTATCTCCTCAAACAAACACAGCCTGGGTTGAACTGATGGAGTTAAAGTTAACCATTAAGTATCTGAGATTGAAGATGGGCTTGTAGCTGGGTTACCCCTGTCCCAGAACAGCAATATAACCCCCCCGCCACATCGGTTTAGGAAATGAACATTGAAAATTCACTTATTGTTAATTTTTGTACTTGTATTATACAACATTTTTCCATTTGTTCAAATCAGCCTTTACCCACAGTAATGGAATGCGTGGATGACCTTAAAGAAAGAGAGGATAGAGGCAATCTTCAACTTACAACCACAACTGAGCTCCAAATTTATGTTGCTAAGTGAAACACTTGTTAATTGAGTTTTGTCCCATTTAATGACTTTTCTTGCCACTTTTGTTAAACAAATCAGTGCAGTTGTCAAGACAGTAGCACGGCTGTTAAGTGAATCGGGCTTCCCCATTGACTTTCCTTCTCAGAAAGTCACAAAAGGGGGATCACATAACATCCCAGAACACTGCAGTTGCCATAAATATGAACCTGTTGCCAAGCATCTGAATTTTGATCACATGACCGTGGGAATGCTGCAACAATCGTAAGTGTGAAAATGGCCATAAGTCACTTCTTTCAGTGCCATGGTAACTTCAAAGGGTCACTAAATGAACGGTTGTAAACCAAGGACTACTCGTATGGCCAGGAAACAATTAGAGAAGGGGGCAGGAACCTAATAGCTGTCTCACTTAGCAAGAGAAATTTTGGCTCAATTGTGGTCGTAAGTTGAGGACTACCTGTATTCCCCATGGAGGAACTACTCCATAATGTCCCCAAAGAGGCGGTGTGCTGTGGTGGGGAAAGTGTTGGACAAGCAGCAGGGAGACCCCAGTCCAAGCCAGCCCCAAGCCCAGGATTTTCGCTAGGTGACTTTGAGTCACTCACGGTATCTCAGGCTGGCCTACCTCACAAGATTGCAGTCATTGGGATAACATCTTATGGGAAACACCTTGAGCTCTTGAGGAAAAGTCTAACAAAAAAGGTTACATTGACAGCATACCCAATAGTGACTATAGGGAGGAAGAATGTGAATCAGGGACATGGTAAGTGGGGACTGAGATGTATGTTAATGCAGGGGTCTCCAACCTTGGCAACTTTAAGACTTGTGGACTCCAATTCCCAGAATTCCTCAGCCAGCAAAGCTGAAGTCCACAAGTCTTAAAGATGCCAAGGTTGAAGAGCCCTGTGTTAATGCATTAAAACATTGGTGAGAGTCAATCGTTGCATTGTACCAACATCACTTTGCCCATGGCTAAATCCAGATTATTTGTATAGAATTCTGCAGAAGATGCCCACAACATTGTGGGTGTCCTTACCAAACTCTTGCAATGCTCTCTCCAGCCATGGGAAACATACCATGGATTAAATCAGGGGTCTCCACACTTGGCAACTTCAAGACTTATGGACTTCAACTCTTAGAATTCCTCAGCCATCCATGCTTAAAGTTGCCAAGTTTTGGTGACGCCTGGATTAAATAATAAAAGATAACCTTGAATAAATAAACTCTCATACTGTAAGACTACCTTGTCAAAATTCCTTGCATTATCCGTAACAACGGATGCATCTCCATCAGCAATCAGCAACCTTGTCTCATCATGAGAAAATATTTATATTAATGATAGCCTGGAGAGAGACTGGTTACAAGAATGGCCTCTGCGCTAAAGAATATTTTACCAGCAGACAAAGATTTGGTGGGTTTTTGAGGAGGTATGACAGTGTGTGCGTGTGTATGTGTGTGTGTCCCCGAAGACGTCCCCGTGGTCATGTGGCCGGCATAACTAAATGCCAAAGGCGTACGGAACACTGTTATCTTCCCACCAAAGGTGGTCCCTCTTTTTTTACTTTGCTTTTGAATTACTGGATTGGCAGAAGCTGGGACAAGTAACGGGAGCTCACTCTGTTATGCAGCACTAGGGATTCGAACTGCCAACCTTTCTGAT